TATATTAAAGTAAAAACATTATATATAGATATTTTATTTATTTGTCTTATTTTAATAAAATTTTACTTTTTAAATTTTGTTACGCATTTGAATAGCTTCATTCAATTTCGCCTTGCATTTGATAGAAAGCGTTAAAATAATGTTTTTGGTGAAAGGACTGGGATAGGAGACTGTAAATCTTACCTTTGATCGCGTATGTACCACCATGGGGTACTTTCTCGCGGGGATGGTATAGGCCGGACAAGACCGCTAATGAAAGCGAAAAGGAATTTATCGAGGATATAAATTGTGTCCCCTCCATGGCCTCTGGTCCATGGAATCGATCGCGAAGACTTTCGAGGCTCGATATCTCGTTGTCGTCCGTCGTTCCTGGGGAGAGGAAAGAAAAAAAATGAATCGCGCCCTTTATTGGTTTTCCTCCCTTTTCGGCCTGCGGAAAATACTACTTCGTGCACGGTTTTACGGAAGCGGGAACAAGAGACCAATATTTCGCTTTAATTAGGCACCACGAGCCAGACTAAGATCAGCCCTCTGAGCAATGACGGATGACGGTACACATTGAATGCCAAATAAATGCCATACAATTTATAAGGAATAATATTTATAAAAACATTTTATGTAATATTCTCTGGAAATTAATTATATATACAAAGAAGAGAAATCGAGAAAAAAATATTTAATTAATGAATAAAAAATAAATAGAAAATATATAATAAATAAAAATAAGAGATAAAAAAATTAATATATGAATTTTATATATATACATACATAATACATACATAATATATATATGCTTGTCTCTCAAAGAGAAGCCGTTGAATCGATAATATACATCATGTCTGTCCCTTTTCCCTCTCGTCTCATCATACTTAAGATAAAATGGTGGTAGAATGAACGTTATTAAATATCCACGCGAATAGATATACATGTTATGTTTTAGAAGCTGCATATTAGCCGGTAACATGAACATGGAATACATTCGCCGACGCCATAACGATGTCTTGTTAGGGAACCCTCAATTTGACAATCCCCGTTGCAAGCTCATGGTGGTAATTAAGAGAGCTCGTAACGTCGTTGTCCCTTTTCCCTCGTTTAGAAAAAAATTGGGCGAGAACGTAACATGCGCGTATACAAATCGTAAATTAATTGTCTCGATCGTTTATTACTGAACAACTCGGAATTTGTCTCGATAAAAATTGACAATAGATATATTCTCTTAACACAATTTTACTATGATTTTGAACTTAATACTTATTATTGAATTTAAATTTAAATTATATTTAATTATAGTAAAGTATTTCTGTAATATTATATAAATTGTTCAACAATGTAACAATTCTGTATATTAATAGTAATACTACTAGGTAAAACTAAATAAAATTTTAGAAATAACATAATAAAATATTAATTATGATTAAAATAAAATAATATTTTAGTAATAAAAATTATTTTAGTAATGTAAAATATATTATGAATTATTTATAGAGCAATTGTATTCTCATTTTATTATATAAGGATATCTTTTTCCTCTTTAATTTTTGGAAAAAGAAAATGATAGTATCTAGTACTATTTAAAAAAATTTATTTCAATAAAATTTAATCTCATATATACATATAAAACATATAACCTGTAAAAGTTTCTTTGACCCTTCAACGATCCCTTCTGCAGAATTAACCATGCGGCTAAGGGTCATGTCATTCAAGAGAATATCACATTTTATTATAGTCGCTGGACAATCGAACGTGAGGGTCGTTGACTCTCGAGCAATCAAAGTATTAAAATATCTCCTTAGTGGAGGTAATTAATCGTAAAGGACATCACGATTGAGTTCACAGAAATTATAATAAATGTCTTTTCGAGGACGAGGTATTATTAGCTCTTCATTGTCAACGTTGCTTTCGTCATAATATCGATATTGTAGATGCGATATTATTTTATCGACTGCTATGAAATTATTACATTAAAATATTATTTTTTTTTTAAATAGGAATTTTTTTCACTCTTTCTCTTTCTTGTATTATTCTACTTTTATCTTCTAATAAATAAAATAGCACTTTTTCTGCTTTTTATATGAAATTTTATTATTTTATTATTCTCTATTATTATTCTATATCTTTTGTTTTATAAATTTTTTACTTAGTCTCTAAATAATCATATAGAGAAAATATTGCATGGATACAAGATCTTTTTTTCTTTAGGGAACACTTACTCAAAGCTTTCACAAAAAAGCATTCATGCATAAAGGCAATTTCCTCAGCTTTCACCTCGTTAAAGTTACCTGTGAATTACAAACGAAAAGTTTCGGCGAAGAGGGGTGGTTCTGGTTTTACAAATTTAAAGCTAACAGTCTCCGTATGAATTGGTCCTTAATGTCGCCGAGGTTTCCATGGGCTCTCTCACCGATTCCGGGAGAACTTTTATATTACAGCTTAAATTGCTCGAGGCTGCCCTTAGCACACGTCGATGGTTACTTTTTAATTAAAAGTTTCGCTTTTAGAGCGCCCTCGTGTCCGACGTGGTCTCACGAGTCCGACGACTTGTACGAAATGCATTTCAACGGTCGAACCATCGCGCTGTTCTAGAACGAAATCATTTACGATTTATTATCGTTTAATAGAAATTCCAATAATATAAATTTAATTAAAGCCAAAATGCCCTATTTCCGCAATCAAAATATTTTACGGATAAAATAATTTTAATAATACCTATATGTATATGTGTGTGTATATAAAGAGAATATCTCTCTCTTTATATAAATTACTGTAAAATTTTAATCTCTGTACAGTTTTTTAGAAAGATAATATTTTAGTTGATATAATTGTGTTTCCAAAAAAAACAGCTGATTTTTTTAACATAGCTTATCCTAAATATGTGTTAGTAATTCTCCATGAAATTATTTAATTATAAGAAGTAATTAAATAATTTATATTTTACAATATGAAACTTTTATAATAGATTATAAAAAAATTATATAATATTATATGCACATATCATATTTCTAAGGATTGAAGATAGTCCAAATATCGAATATGCGTCGTATCGCGGTTTCTAGATGATAAAACAGAGGCAAAAGAGGACGGAGAAAATAGAAAGGACCGCCGCGACAAAGCGTGCATAATTAATACCGCCAAATTAATTCGTTAGACGCGTTTCCTACGCGATCTCTCCGTCGAGATCCGCGTTTTCCAGCCGCCCATCGCTCCGCGCGAGCGGCTTTTCTCCGGGATAGATACGTCCCCGGGGGTGCCCAGCGGTAGCGGAGAGCTAGCTCGCTATTAAACCCGTGGGATAAGACCTGGCACTTCACTTCACGCGTACGCTCGCTCTAATTAAATTATTCCGAAACGCGGAACCTGCTGTGTGCGAACGACCCTGGTTATAAGCTTTCTGCGCGTACACACATACACACACGCATACAGATGCATAATGCATATATACATAGACCACTTGTACGTTGCGGTTACGAAAGAGCACTTGCAAGAGATGAAAATCACGTCTCCGGATGATTATCGAAAGGTCTATCATTTATCGCGCGTGATAATGCGAGGAATATTTCATTATTAACAATAACATGCAAGATAATGTCGTTATAAAACGTAAATTAATACGGCATAGCTGCATGTAACATTACAAAAGCTATTCATGCACTCTCAAGATGGAATTGCATATTGATAAAAAGTGTCATCGCCAGTGTTTTAAATCGAAGGCACCCGATATACATATAATGAGATCGTGATGCTTCTGGGATTCTAAAAAAGATATTCTATGCCAAATTTTTATTATATTATATTTTTTATATACTTCCTTTACAGAAAATATTTAATATTGATACTATAAAATATAATAATAATTGATAAGAAAAGAAAGTATATATTTTTTATTTAAATCATAAAGATGTGATATTCGTGTGGTGTGAGACAAAGCTTAATGGAATTAAATAATATTTAATTTTTTTGTCGAAAGATTTATCTTTAATCTTACGTATTGCAAAATTATTATTAACTTCTTTACATCTTATTAAGAAAATGACTCTATATTGAGGAAAAGTCACAAGAAAAAAACGTGAAGAACAGGCAATAAATACTAATAAATAATTATTATCTATACGTAATTATTTATATATATGATAAATAATCATTTCTCTCCTTCTTTCTCTCTCTTTTGATACATGGAAGAGCCATTCTTTACCGATTTTCGCCATGAATCGAGACGAATCAAGCGGCATCGCCCTCCATTCCCGCATAGCGGTAATAGGCATCTCGTGATAAATACCGACTCGTTCGTTTGCCGTGTTATTTGTCAACAAGGCGGAATGTATATAGAGATACATACACTATCTCACATAAATTTGTTTTGCAACATATAAAGTATTTCGACAGTGAGAGGGGATTGACGGCGATAACACGTTATTGTTTATACGCTGTCATGTTGTTATCATTCATACGGCGAAGCTCGAGCAGGAAGACAGCGGCACGAGTCGCTCCATTTGTCATCGTATTATCTTTCGAAAAACGTAATTATTCCAAGGAATTATTACAATTTGCGATTAACATTTTACAAACGTATACTATCTGTTAACAACAGAGTCGCGAGTATAGTCGTAGTTTCGTGTAATGGCAATGTGTTCAGTATGAGTATCCCCATACTTACGTTCATCTCGCTAAGGGAACGGAACGGAACGAATCATTGCCGGGCAGTATATGCACATATATACACACAGGTGATTGGCCGATCTAGAAGAGAAGAAAAAGAAGAGACAAGAGAGTAACGTAGCGTATATCATATTGTATCTACACGAC